AGCCACTTTGAGATGAGTCATCCATCCGTCCATCCATTCTCCAAACCGCATTTCCTATGTAGGGCTTCAGAGTCTATTTTTATATCTGGAATGGGGAGGTTTGAATATGTAGGCTACTGTATGTACAGTATAAATTCATTTATAAATTCCAATTATCAGTAAAATTGCTTTCTCCATTAAACTCAAACATTTTTATAACTGCAGTGCGATTTGTCAATTGTAACTTACTGACAGTATTGGGGAGTCACAGAATACACGTAATGCCATTATGTATTTATAATACAAAATATTTCTCTATTGAAATCATTGGTAATCCCATTACAGTTACATTAAACATGTAGATTACGTAAGGGATTACCATATAATTTAACTGCCATTTGTTTATTTTAAAGTGCCCCTATTATGCCATTTTTAACTGCCATTTCTACAATAGGTTTACATGCATGCAAGGTCAAAAAAACACTTTCGTTTTCTCAAAATATGCATTTAATATCACCTCATTTTTCAGCGATTCTCAAATGATTAGTTCGAAGCAGTTCTAAGATTCAGTCTCTCTAAACCCCTCCTTTCTGTGAACCTACTCTGCTCTGATTGGTCAGATGGCCCAGTCTATCTGATCAGTCATTGGACCAATCTACCACATACAGCGCGTGTCGGAAATGATACGCCTATTGCCATAGTTATGTATTTTGAACGCTCGTTAGAACATATAAACATCTATTATTTGTCTTACTTACAGGTTGTGATTCAGAGGAGTCAGCTGGTCCAAATAAACTTTAGTAATGATTCATCTTTAAGAGCAAGTGTTTGTGAATCCCGCGTTGAAATTCCCGGGATTAGAGAAGCAGTCGTCAGTGAAATGATGGGAACACACAAAAGATTGGGGTTGTACTGCTGTGGTACAGTGGAACAATTAATTTTAACCACTGATTCTTTGCAGCCCAGGGCGGCATCTTGCTGGCGGCGCGATTGGGATTTTACCACTCATTTGCACGGCAGGTCAAAATCATGTTACAGTGTGGGTCATTTAACCTGGTCGGGACTCGGTTTCTCACTAAGACACATAGTCGGAGGGTGAACCACCTCCAGGTTACGGCTAAAAGAAGCCTTATGTTTAGCCTAATAACTACACGCATCACAAACAAGTCTTTTGAGGCAACTAGCAGATACGGGGCGTCATGTCATAAAATATTTTTACTACTGAATTTGTATTTAAACTGATGACAATTTAATTTAAAAAAATTGTATGTTACGCTTCAATTTCCACTGTTACTGAAACAGCAAATAAATTATATACAGAAATCGAACAAAGAACATTTACATTAACATATAGAACATTATCACTGACTTCAGTGTCCTACAATGTGTCTACAATGTGAAATGAATCTTTTACATCGTACGTACATCTGCACTTTGTTGTTGAGAGAATTGATGAGAGAATTCGCAAAAGAGCAGAATTCAGTCAGTAAACACGGCACTCAACAAAACTCCAGCGTTTCAGCGATGACTGATCTGAACGCCTCTGATTGGCCGCTGCATTCATAAGCTCAACAGAATCGTGTGTGATTGGTTATATAGCACAGCGCTAAAAAAAAAAAAGCTCATGAAGAAATATGCAGCGTGAGCAGATCTAAATTTAATGCGCAATAATACTTTTCATTACATTTTCACTTCAGTCAGTTTCTCTAAGGTGACTTAATTAGGGCGAGTGGGAGGTTAAGCCATCAGGAGCCCAATTTAACAAAAAAAAAGAAAAGAGGAAATGTGCAAAGATAAACGGTATCTGCAGCTATCACTCATCTTGCTAATATACACATAGGGCATGCCTTTGTCTGACTATCAGGCTTATATAAGCAGAAAGTAAAATGTGATCTTGTAATATGTTTTTTTTTTTTTAACAAACGTAACATCACTCACTTTATTGATGTTTTGCTGTTCAGTTGTGTGTTGTTGTTTTTTTTTATTATTAATTTGCGATAACAATATTATGTATATCACCCATTTTGGATCTTAGAGTGTTGAACAAACATACAAGATCTTATAAATGGTGGAAAAACCTTTTCCACTATTAAGGGGTAGTGCCTTACCTGGCACTGGGCATGTGCGCTTCTCTGTCAGGCCAGACTTGATGCAATTGGATGCTTCTGCAGTAGTCAGACACGGATGCACTTCCCATATTTGGATCTCTCCACCCAATGTTTCAAAGACCCGTGTTTACAAAAGTAACATATTGTTTTGCACGGTCTAGCACAGGGGTGCAAAGAGTTTAGTTCTATCCCTGCTCAAACACAAATACCATGTTGTTTTCAAATAAGCATGAAGGACTTAACGAGCTGGATCAGGTGTGTTTAATTAGGGTTGAATGCCACGTTCCATTTGTACTCGGAAGTTGGAAATTCTGAGTTCCCAATAGGAACTTTTATCTGAAGTTGGAGTTCTGACTCGGAATCTCGGAGGAATCGCAGCAACTCCAACTTCAGAATCCAATATGGCTGCTCAGTGCATCAACAGAAGAGAAACAGTAGTAATATATTGTTTATTAGCATTTATGTTTGTCTGTGTCTCAATAAACTCAGTGGTGCACACAGTAATATCCAACCTCGATTTACCACTTTTTATATGTTTTTAATTGACTGGTATTGCTAACAATGGACGCGTCCATCTTGGTTTTCTGACTTCTCTACTGGAACACAGTCCACTTGTGTCTGATGTCATTATCAGCTCCGACATCCGGCTTTCGAGGCAAATGGAACGCAGCAGAAGCTAAACTCTGCAAGGCTGTGGCCCTCCAGGAATCAAGTTTTACACCCCTAGTCTAACACTACTCACATTTACTTCAGAAAGTGTAAAAATAATTTGATATATAGTTGATTAATATATTGTTTGACATTTTAATATTTCAGTAAGTTTTAGAGGAGGTTGTTATTCTTTAAACACTCATGAATATACAGTACTGTATAATTATAATGTTATAGTTTTTAGATATGGGTGACATACAGCAGCTATAAATATTAAGCAGCTAATGCAGTAAAAGAGTAAAATCAGGCATTTTTTTAACTAGTCTTTAGTATTGTTAGTGATCCACAAACCCCAGTGTGACTCCTGTTAGTTACATTAATGCTGTCAAAAAGCCTTTTAAAATAGAACCTTAAAAGTAATATTGAAATATAATGCACCTGTAAACTTTCCATTCAGATGGATGATAAGCACTGTTTATGGAGAACAATTTTTTGCATACATTTTATTGACCCTTGTGTGTATCATTGTAATGCAAAACTTGAAAATGCAGGAACTATAATGACGGCTGAAGGTTTACAACAGGATATTTCCCCATTTTCTCTAATCACAAAGTAGGACAGAACGAGAATGAAAAATATCAAATGGGCCCAACCTCTCTTCAGATCCCAGTGTAACTGACCTGCCTGCACAGCCTTTAGTTACAATATGTCACAAATATGCACAAGTCATGTTGTTTCTGTAGTTTAATACCGAAATTGTTTGAACCGTTTGAACTTCAAAAGCTGACACTACAACAACACTTTTCTAATATATTTCGGTTTGTCATTCCATACCATTTGGCCCCATTGGCAACATCTGAGACAAGAAAAACCATATATTTAAGTAAAAGATCCATAAAGTAATTACTGAGAACCTTTAATGTTCTAGACCCATTTCACTGAAAAGTGGTGCTATTGTGAAATTGGACTATAATGGAATTATATTACAAGGGACTATTTATATAAAAAGCAAATCTCTGTATTCATGAGTGCTACAGATACATAGCATGTGATTTATTCCATGGTTTATTATTTTTGGTTTATCCATGGTTTATCATCATTTTTTTTTCTATGTTGAACATGATACAGGTCATAAGTAATGTGGCCCAATTTTTATTATTGACAAATCCAGCTTCAAGCAACAGGCATAACAAATGTAAAGTTATTTATGCAACAGAAATAAGCAGATCATGCAGAAAACCATGTGGAAATTAAGTACAACCCTCCTACATGTTATTAAATAGTTTCAAACAAAGAGACATCAGAATTAACCATTCCATGTCTCACACACAGCAGGTGATGTTCCATTCCCGAATTAATCTGTTTTTGAACTAATTGGTTGAGTGAAAAATTTTATGATTCGCTCATAAAGACAGTCACTTGTTACTACGTACTGTCATAACAATGTAAACTGCAGAAAGCGTCACAGAAAAATCCCTACCACTAATGCCAGGGATGTGCCCGAATAGTGAGTCCGTATTCGGAAAGGCATGGAAAACAAATAACTCATTCTACGGAACCACTAAAAGGACATGGTTATGCATGGGAGCATGACTGATAGGACGATGGAGAATGATTTGCAGATCCTGAGCACCACTGACAAATATTTAATCTTGTAAAATGTGTGGTAAGTACTCCTGCACCATAGTATACACAGAGTACATGTGATCGCAAATCTCGAAAGTGAAAGTAAAAAACAAGCATGCATTCAAAAGCGATTTCAATGTCCCGCATATTAATAGCGGCTCCCTGATGCCGGCAATTTATATACAGTATAATTACTCGATATAATTGCGAGAGAAAGCATTGAAATATATTTCTGTCATGACAACTCTCGGAGGGATTGGCATGGTAATGTACATGACAATGTTAATGTATTTGGTCTTGGCGGCAATCAGCTGTGCCATGTGATAATGATGTCATTAGGTCAGATTGCGTTAGACCTATCGGACTGCGCCATCTAAAGTTTCATGCCAGAACTTTTTTCCTCCCATTTTGTATTTATTTATTCCCTAGTTCAGTAGCTCACGTCATTTCCTTTCAGAACATGGTATTCGGATTCGGGCACATCCCTAACTAATGCACAGACTGTCAGTGCCTGGAACAAACACAAGCAGTGAAATATTGGTGTGTAGTGTCACCGAAGGTGTTGTTATTTCACTACCCTATGCTTGTAATGCAATGATCGTTTACACAGTGTTTTCTGCCACAGGAGTCGAAACATCATTTGGTTTTTGTTGAGTTCTCTAATGTATTACCCTCCAATTCTCCTTCCTCTTCTGTGTTCAGTCTCTGATAAAGCAAGTCAGTGTCTGCACTTTCAGGTTGTTCCCTAAACTCAACCATCTCCTCTTCCTCGGTTTCGGAGTCGGGAGCAGTGTGTTTGCGTATACGACTTACCGCGTCCCACAGGGACTTGGCATGTTGGATTTTTTGCTTGTGTTCAGGGGGTGATGAAGTACAGAGTAAAACATCAGAAGAAACATTTCTTGTCTGTGGGAGAGATGAATTTTCAAAAGCATCTGGAACTGGAGTTGTAGGAGAGGGAAGTGAGGATGTACATCTTGACTGAACACTGGGAGAACCAGAGTACTCGGTGGTTTCTGTATTAGTAAAAGATGGAAGCAACAGTGGTTCATTCTCTGTGTGAGAAACCACAGAAGTAGCTGATACATTTGATTCATCCAATGTGTTGGAAGTAGAGGTAAATGACAAATGAGGTGAAGAACTTGATCTTCTGAGAGTACTGGAACCCACAGTTGAAGGTAAAACAGCTTTGTGTATGCGTTCTTCAAATTCTCTGATGTAATTTTCTGCACTTTCATCGGAGAGGTTGTCTTCTGTTGAGCTATCCTTGGTAAGGTCCTTAGAAGTATCTTTTTGATGGTTTTCGTTATCTTTCTGTGTACTGTACTTATCCACACTGTCATCCAATGCTGGTGCATTTCCTTGTTCTGTGGATTGATTCATATGTATGGTGGTCTTTTCAGTTTGGATCCCATAAACGTCAGATGTGGATTTTGCATTTGTTAAAGCCACAAAGTCTTCAAGCACAGCTTCAGGTTCTTGTGCAGGGATTTGGTCTTCCACTTTCATAATGTTGAGCGTTTCCTCTACACTTTCATTATTCTCCAGTGTTGTCCCACTCCAGGGATGTCCCACCATAGGTTCATTTCTCAGCGATTGCCTGTCATTAATCATTGCAGCTGCTGATGGAGATTCCTCAAACTCTTTTATTGGATTCACTATGTGACTCTCACAGGAAGTGTCATGTTCTTTTGAAATGCTCTCGTGTGTCTGTACACTTGTCCTGGGATACTCATGTGGTATTCCAAGAATCCCTTCTACTCTCTTGTCCAAGGCATTGTTTTCAGGAGTCTCCTGGCTTGAGATGTCACTGCTGTGCTGCTTTTGCACATCAGTCTCCTCCCTAGTACTTGGCAAAGGACTCTCTTCTGTCAAACACACATACTGGACATGTTCCTTCTCTGGAAGAAGTACAAGCTCAACCTTGACAACAACACAGGTTGCATCAATGACCAAAAGACTCTGCTGGTCGTTTGTCGTGTTGTTACTATCCTCTTTGTTAGTTACGTTTGACTCATTGTTGATCCTCTGGCTTTGCTCATTTCTTTGCTCTGTCATACCCATCGAGTGATGCCGATATTTTGGCTCTTTCCACAATGGGAATTTCTCTATGATTTCCCTGCATGGTTTCTCATGTCCGTCTGTCTGCATAGGTGACTTCTGGGCTAAACAGTTTGACTCTGAGTCATTCCTTTGGACATAACATTGCAACTTTTCTTTACTTTCATCTGGTTTTATTACATTACCCAAATCCTGAATAGAACTGGATCTTTGATCTAGGGGTGTATGACTATACTCTCCAAACATTAAGGATTCATTGAACTGCCCCACAGCTTTGTCCTTCTTCAAGTATGCATCCTGATTTTGTCTGCTGTCATCATTGCCCTGAGGTGAATTTATCTGCTCAGTGGTGATTGTCTTGTCATCAGGTTTGCAATCAGTTAACAGAGGTAACACGTGGGATTTAAGTGGCTCCTCTGGAGAACTGGACAAGCCTGACACTTCTCCCATACGAGAGACTAGACAAAACACAGTCTTGCCACCTTTTCTTCTTGTAAGTTTGGTCTGCTTCTTTTGAGTAATATCAGGATGGGTCATGTGTGAAGGCCCTCGGTACTGTAGCTGTGCTTGTGGAGAAGGTGGTATTGTGTTTGTTGTTGTGTACTGCATGACAGTGGATGTATTTAAGGTTTCCAGACAGTGTAGTCCACCCGTGATATCACTGCGATAACTCTCTGTGTTCTGTGTCTGTTTATTTTTTTGTAAATAATGTTCATTGTTTGATGAAAGATCACGATGTTTTTCTGTCGAATCTGTAAAGTTTACTTTTCTGCTCTCAAATGTTTGCTCCTGAAATGCTTCCACACTTGCCTCTCTAGTAACTTTCGGTATTCCTGCTATCTTTTCACCATCCTTTGGGGAGCTGTATGCTGGTGGTGCCATGTAGGATGGAGGCTGTTTAAATGATCCTACTGGGAAAACACTTTCTGTATTTCTTGAATTCCAAGGGCTCCATTTCCACCGATGTTCCCTCTCTCTGTTGCTGAGGTCAGTTTTGTCTTTTTTCTGTGATGTTAAAGCAGTTGGCTGGAAATTTTCAGTGGTCTCTGCACTAATAGCCCACTGGCGACATCCCAACATTTTCTCCATGTCTGAAGCACACCTAGATGATCTCCACTCCCCAACCTCAAAACGAGGTGTTTTTTTGGAAAGTTTATGATGATAGCAGTCGGCATAGGCTTGGAGCTCGTTGTGAATGTTTGTTCCAAAGTTTTCTCTTATTCCTCTGTAGTTTATTGGCCATGTGTTTTCCCACCCTTCGTGCTGTGCACATTTGTTTCTTTCTGTATTCCTCCCCTTATCTGATCTCTGTTTTTCTGTTGGTACAAGATTTCTCACTTCACCAATGTAGTCAGTTAATTCTCTGTGAGATAACTTGGTTTGTGTAGGAAAATTTGTGATTGATGATATCTCACTCTGCTTGTTAAAGTCATAAATATTCCTGCTAGTTCTGGGACCTGATGCCACCCAAGTTTTTGGCTCACCAGTTGAGCCATTGTACTCCGACAGGTGCTGCAGGAAAGTGGCTGTAGAAGGTTTGCGCTGATATCTGTTAAGAAAAACAAGAGTAATGTACAGTTGCAGGAAAATGTAAGTTAAATTTCTCCATAAACTGGTCATAAAATTTGATCTGTTCTTGAGCTGTCAAAATAACAGTCAATCACAGTCTGCATAAACAAATCTGAACGTACTGTGTAAACATTCACAGTGAAGAGTCAGCTAACCTGAAGTCTGATCCCTGTCCTGTCCAAACAATAGGATTTGTTGATTTGAACACCTAACATTAAGATGTATTGATTTGCTTTTAAAAACATGAGACGCTGCTCAATCAGGGGCACCCCAAGGGTTCATGGGGTCCCCTGGAAAAGAAAACTGGATTTGCGCAATTCACATAGATCATATTTCTCAGGTCAGAAAAAAATGAAATCTGTATTAATACAGAAAAATTACAATTTTGGAGATTTTTTCTGTCAAGAGTGTGTCCACCAATTATTAAATCAAAGAGGGTTTTTTGCACTCTTCAATGTAAATGATTGTACAATGTGTTAAAAAGACAAAAACATATCATTGTTTGTGTGTTATCGGTCTAAAAAGACTGTGTTTGCCTATTGTTGTGACTTAGTTGAAGAGAAGATTTTATGACCAATTTATGCAAAAATTTAGGTAATTCCATAGTTTAATTATTTTGATGAGCAACTAATGAAAAATAAATAAATAAAAGTTTTAACCCTCAAGTCTATGAGTGGGAAATTGTGGGAAAACAAAGACTTACAAAGACTTTACTGCTTTAAGGGGTTTTATAAAAACAGCAGCAACAAAATGCATTTACTCTATTATTATGTTTTCTGTCCAGTATGCTATATTTGGTTTGGTACCTTCTGTATTATACTTTATTAATAGAAGTCAATGCATTTTAACCATCTATGGACAACTTGCACAACTACTTCACATTCTGCTTATTACATCTCTGGGATTTCCGGGAACAACATTCGACATTCTGAATAATAAATAAAATATATTTTTGCCTCTATACTTCTCATTTACCATATTTTACTAATTTCACTCATATTTGTACATTAATCTTGGCAGCAGAATTAGCATTGGTTGTCAGCACAGAACAAGACAACAACAATAGTACAAATGACAAAACATGAGCATATGATAATACAGTAAAAACAAGAAAAACTGTATATATATGCATATATGAGGTATAATTAATCATAATAAATATGAGCCCTAATTTATTGCTTGGTTCCTTATGAGGCTCTCAGGATTTAAAGTTCCTGAAGTGATGGCAGGTAATGACTTGTGATCTTCTCAGCTGAGGGGATCACCCGTAGAGGCCGAAGGAAACCAGACTGTGATGGACGAGGTGAGGATGCTGTCAGTGAACCAGGACAGCAGAGAAGAAATTAACTTCTTTGAAGAAGTTTTTCTTTGTTTGTTTTGGGACACTGCTTTTTGTCTTGCTGTTTATTCAGCATGCCCCACCATGTGTTTCATGTTTTTAAGATGCTGTGTCAAGTTAAAAACCACAATGTGCCTCTCATCTATCAAATTCAAATTCTTGGTAATTGGCAATTAGGAAAATCTGTCCTTTGGATGAGAAGTTATTGGTCTGGACTCTCCATGGTCAAAATAATAATAATAATAATAATAATAATAATAATAATAATAACAATAACAATAACAATAATAAAAATATATAAATAATCCAGGATATTTCTCTAAGTTACCTACATATTAGGAATTTCTACTTTTGTTTCCCATTTTGTTTTTGTGAATTAAATATATATTATATCTATACCATTTTGAATTCAAATGGAGTGGGGCTGAGATGGGTGCTGATAAGGAATGACATCCAAAGACACTTCAGCATCCAGAGACGGAGGCTATGTTCACACTGCGAGCCTTAGTGCTCAATTCAGTTTTTTTCTCGGATCCGATTTTGTTGTATAGCTGTTCACATTGTTGTTTTAAATGTGGCCAACATCAGATTTCCAGTGTGAACAGATCACAGTTCTGAACTGACCCGCATGCGCAAAAGAACAATACAGACAGGGTTTCCAGATTTTCACAACAAAATCCGCCCAATAGTCCAAAACTAGCCCAATCATGTTCAGGAAGGTAAACATCGCGTTAGTGGGGTTGCGTCAACCCACGAAGTTGAAAAACATCCCGCAGCAACAGAGGAAAAATTAGCCCAATTCCGCAGGGAAAATGTGGATTTGGCAACACTTGCACAGCGCGGCGTCATACGGAAGTAAACACGGAGGATATAAAGTAAGCGATTATTCTTTTATTTGATCTGCTGCAGAAGCCAGCGAAATTATGCACAGGCAATATGAAAAAATAAAGACAAGGATGTGACAAAAAAAAGCAGAGTTTTGAAACTTTTATGATACGAGCCCTCATGTTTTGCTTGTAGAGTTGTCCCTGTAATACACATGAGTTCTGACACATCACACTTCCACTGATTACCTTTCGCTACTGTCTTGATAACTTTGGGTGTGTAAAATGTTTGAAGTGTCTCCCGTAAGCACGGAATTATAACGAATCTCGATCTAGAGTGACGTAAAAGTCGCATGAATTCCGATATGACTATTCAGACTGCGGTCGCATTGCAAAACATCTGACATGGATGGGATTTAGTACCACATATGGAAGTGGCACAAATCAGAATCGAAAATATCAGATTCCATGCGGTTTGTGCTGTTCACACTGTCATGACAAAAACAGATCTGAGTCACATGTGAGCAAAAAAATCAGATTTGGGCCACATTTGCCTGCAGTGTGAACGTAGCCATAGTTTCCTTTGGCAAGAGGTTCACACGGGAGAGTTAATGATGCCCTGGAGCCAGAGTCTCCAACCCTGGTTCTGCAGAGCTACCATCCTGTAGATTCCAGCTCCAACCACAATCAAACACACCTGAATCAGCGAATCAAGGTGTTCAGAGTTACTTGATAATTACAGGCAGGTGTGTTGGAGCAGGGTTGGAACTGAAGTCTGCAGGACTGTAGCTCTTCAGGAGCAGGGTTGGAGATCATGAGAGTTCATTTTTACTCCATACAGCAGTGGTCTCAAATTCAATTCCTGGAAGGCCACATCTCTGCACAGTTTAGCTCCAAGCCTAACCAAACAAACCTGATCCAGCTAATCAAGGTCTTCAGGATTATTAGAAACTTCCAAGCAGGTGTGAGTTGGAGCTGGTTGGAGCTAAACTCTGCAGAGCTGTGGCCCTCCAGGAATTGAGTTCGAGATCACTGCCATACAGTCTACAGATGTCATCAGGGAGACCTGTCCAGAAAAAGGTGCATCTGTGTCCAAGCTCCGCTAGAGGATCAGAGAATCATCTCACTCCAGGCTGCAATGTCTCTATTGTAATTGCAGGGTTTATTTGCCATTAGTGCTGTGAACAGATTAGGTCTTTTGCCATCATGTATATCCGGTAGGCTGCATACATCCCATGCGCTGGTCCTGATTGCACAACTTGACTCCATGATCCAAGACTAGTGGAACTGCTGGCAAACAGACGCTCATATGCAGGAGATTGATCTGCTGCAGAAGCCAGCGAAATTATGCACAGGCAATATGAAAAAATAAAGACAAGGATGTGACAAAAAAAAGCAGAGTTTTGAAACTTTTATGATACGAGCCCTCATGTTTTGCTTGTAGAGTTGTCCCTGTAATACACATGAGTTCTGACACATCACACTTCCACTGATTACCTTTCGCTACTGTCTTGATAACTTTGGGTGTGTAAAATGTTTGAAGTGTCTCCCGTAAGCACGGAATTATAACGAATCTCGATCTAGAGTGACGTAAAAGTCGCATGAATTCCGATATGACTATTCAGACTGCGGTCGCATTGCAAAACATCTGACATGGATGGGATTTAGTACCACATATGGAAGTGGCACAAATCAGAATCGAAAATATCAGATTCCATGCGGTTTGTGCTGTTCACACTGTCATGACAAAAACAGATCTGAGTCACATGTGAGCAAAAAAATCAGATTTGGGCCACATTTGCCTGCAGTGTGAACGTAGCCATAGTTTCCTTTGGCAAGAGGTTCACACGGGAGAGTTAATGATGCCCTGGAGCCAGAGTCTCCAACCCTGGTTCTGCAGAGCTACCATCCTGTAGATTCCAGCTCCAACCACAATCAAACACACCTGAATCAGCGAATCAAGGTGTTCAGAGTTACTTGATAATTACAGGCAGGTGTGTTGGAGCAGGGTTGGAACTGAAGTCTGCAGGACTGTAGCTCTTCAGGAGCAGGGTTGGAGATCATGAGAGTTCATTTTTACTCCATACAGCAGTGGTCTCAAATTCAATTCCTGGAAGGCCACATCTCTGCACAGTTTAGCTCCAAGCCTAACCAAACAAACCTGATCCAGCTAATCAAGGTCTTCAGGATTATTAGAAACTTCCAAGCAGGTGTGAGTTGGAGCTGGTTGGAGCTAAACTCTGCAGAGCTGTGGCCCTCCAGGAATTGAGTTCGAGATCACTGCCATACAGTCTACAGATGTCATCAGGGAGACCTGTCCAGAAAAAGGTGCATCTGTGTCCAAGCTCCGCTAGAGGATCAGAGAATCATCTCACTCCAGGCTGCAATGTCTCTATTGTAATTGCAGGGTTTATTTGCCATTAGTGCTGTGAACAGATTAGGTCTTTTGCCATCATGTATATCCGGTAGGCTGCATACATCCCATGCGCTGGTCCTGATTGCACAACTTGACTCCATGATCCAAGACTAGTGGAACTGCTGGCAAACAGACGCTCATATGCAGGAGATCAAAGGGCTTTTGCTCTTATGTGATTTTTACTCATTTACACATTTGATGGATAAATAGTAGATATAAAAAATTGTAGCAGATGTGAAAACTAAATCAAAGATCACACATACTGTAGGCAAAAAAAGAGCAATAGTACATTGATTGTCCAAGAGACCTGGTAACACTGATGGACCAGGAGACAAAGGCAGAGATGTGGTGACGAGCGGCCAAGGTGAAGCCAGGTTGCTGGAGGACGGAGATGATGACAG